ATTAGGAAGTTGGGAGATAGAAGACTTAATGGCCACAATGAAGGGAGGTGGATCCCCCTCTTATCACTGATCACTGACAGTACCTCTGGAATACAACTCTCTGTGCTCATCAGAAATCATTTGAAAACCCTGAAGTATGTTGGATAAATTAGATGGGTCTTTTCAGCTGTGATCAAATAAAACTCAGCTCAGAAACCCATAGTTTGCCATCTAAATCAAGGAAAGAGCTCCTTGGTCTTTTCGGACAAAACCCAAGACCCTGGTCCTGTTTTGGACCTGTTAAGAGACTTGGCATGTTTGAGTTTGGTAATGGGAAGTAAAGGTAACACTGTCAGTTGCCTTGGAAGAGCAGCCTTTCAGCTCAGACAAAGCAGTGATGTGGGGCTGGGAGGGCTAGTCATGGGCAAGGGGAAGAACCACCAGCACTGAGAACAGCTTTCTCCTTTCCTCTAGGTCTTAGTTGGCAGTGAACTGAAAACTCTGCCCAGGACAGCCAACAATAAAGACAGCCTTGCTAACGAGAATTCTAGACCACAAGATCTGTTCACTGGCATGGGCAGAAATGCAGAGCACAAGCAGATGATTTTTTTTTTCTAAACTAGGAATTCGGAGGGGGGAAAAAGTTCCAGTTAGCAGCAGCACTGCAGGTAGATTACCTGAGAGTCATTAGAAACCAGGACCTTGAGCTATAACTGGGAGAAAGAAATCTTTTCATTACATGCTTTTTTACGTTACACTGTCACCAGGGCTCTATTACACTCCATTTCTCTTAAGCTCAGTTCTATTATTTTAAGTCTCATTTTTCTTCCTCCAAGTACTATGGGTTGAACACAAGCACATGCTAGGCAAGTGCCCAACTACGGCACTACATCCCCAGTCCCAAGTTTGGAAAAAAATTACATAATACCTAAGATGTTTACTGATGAACATTTCAGTATATGGTTTGGAAGTGGTTTTAGTCACAGCAAGTTGAAGGTACAAAAACTGCTTTGTGAGTAATGTTTGATTCTCTTGAAAATTTGTCCTGGTCTGGTTATATAACATTAGAATCAGAAAGGACCTTATTTTATAAATGAAGACATTAGAGACAGGACAAGAGAAATCGAAGGATTCTATTCAAGCTCAGCTTGGTAATTATTGTGCAGACTTCTTGAATTGCAGCTGATTAATCTATCCATCCATCCCATTATGCCATCTCCATCACATTGGCTTTAAAAATCTTTAGAGAAGGGTGAGTTGGGGAGACGGCTCAGTGGGTAAAAGTGCTAGCTGCACAAGCCTGATGACCTGAGGTAGAGCCTTAAGCCCACGTAAAGGCCATATGTGGTTGCTAGTATCTATAATCCCAGGATTCCTGGGGAACAGGGACGAGAGAAAACCCAGAAGCAGAAACTGATGGGCCGGTTAGCCTGGAGCATGCAGCACTCCACAGAAAGGCTCTCTGGCTCAACAAGGTGGGAGGTGAGAACAGACTCCTGAAAGTTGTCTTCTGAGGCCACACAAGCTCCACGGCATGTACAGCACTCTTCTCCTCCTCTCTCTCACAAATCTTCAGAAAAGGGATGCTTAGAAGTTTTTGATAAATTCCTTATCCTCAGAAAGTGTATTTAGAAAAAGAAATTGGCATTCTTAAATTACTTTCTTAATGTATTCATAGGCAAAAGAGAACTCTCTTAGTTTATACCATACCATTAAAAAAAAAATTCCCCCTTTATCCTGTTACCTGAACTGACTTAAAAGAGCCCAATGAGCTTGTATCTCTGGACCCCACATGTCTCACCGCTGACAACTGTATCACTCAGTACTCATAGAACCCCATTTTGGTTCTTTATTCAAGAAATTATTTGTTCAGTAGTGAGCAGTGTTTACTGTGGGCAGGAGCACATACATACACATCAGTTAATCCATAGGCTGACGGGTTTTCTCCAGGCCACACTGCCAACTTACTCCCAGAATGCTTTAGCCTGGCACTCAGAAGAAAAGTCCCAAGGCATATCCCTGGCGGAGGGCCGCTGAAGCATTGCTTTCCCATGCACTGCTTGTTTACTGGTTGCTCAGCTTGCCATGGTTAATTTTAGTCCTGTCTAGAGATGGACTTTTGTTCTTATCAGATCATAGATTGACTCAAGCAGGCTCCTAAACTTTGTTTCCACTTTCACACACCTGTTTTGTGGATATGAACAAATATACTGGTACTACCCAGAGTTCTACCATTATAAAAATCCTGTGTTCTACTGAAAGATCTAAAAATTTTATTGCTTTGTGAAATGTCAAAAGAAACAGTAGAAATGCTGTTACAATTTAATCTAAAGCTGCACTCTTATTGGAAAACTGCAGACAAGTACACCAAGCTACTTCCTAAATTCAATCAGCTGGGAACCAGTAAGAGGGGTGACACAATCCAGTCAAATACTTGCCATTTCTCCTAACCAAGTACTCTAGTTTGCTTTCTATTGCTGTGATAAAGCACTGACCAGAAGCAGCTTGGGAGAACAAAGGTTTACTTCAGCTTACAGGACAGTCCTTCATCGAAGGAAATCTGGGCAGGAGCTCAAGCAGGAACCTGGAGGAACAGAAGCAGAGAGCACAGAGGAACACTGCTTACTGGTTTGCTCCCTCTTGCTTGCTCACCTGTACTTGTACAGCCCAGGCCCACCTGCTAGGGAAGACCCTCCTCTATTATTTAGCAATCAAGGAAGGCCCCACAGACATGCCCACAGTCCAGTCTGAGGGATGCAATTCCTAAATTGAGGTTCCGTCTTCCCAGGTGACTCTAACTTGTGTCAAGTTAACAAAAACTAATTAGCACACCAAATACTAACCAGGCCCAACTCTGCGTAATTTGAGATCAGACTAGACTGGGTATGTTCTGGTGGGATGGTTGTAGACAAATGCTTGATGGTGCTAATGGGCCTGGCATTTTTGAATTAGCTAATAGGTACTGACATTTTTAGGTATACAATGATTAACTATTTTCTTATGATTTTAGTATCAAAGAAATCCAAGCTCAAAGCAAACTGTTGTATGCAAATTTCAGTAAGTGGTTTCAACAGTTTCCACCAATTGTTCTGTAAGTTCACTGAAGTTCTACTTATGATTTGATAAATTCACCTACCATTTCAAGTTCCACTTGATCAGAGTTCAGACAATATTGTCCCAACATCCAAAATTCTCAGACCAAAATGACAGGAAGACCATTTAGGGACCAAGCCTCAGCAACCATGCCCACAGGCAGGGGCCACAACCCTCACACTTATTTTTCATCCAAGGAGAAGGAACTTCTCTGAACTAAAATTTAATCAATTTCAAAACCTTATTTTTAGCTTTACCAAGGAGATCCACTACTAGTCTTATATTGATCGGTAAGCTACTAATTTCACAAAGAAAACCTATTTCAAAGATTAGCAAAACCTCTAGCCATGACTGAGATATGGATGCTAGTACTCCTAACAGTTCCTGTGGCATTTCTAATTAAAACACTGTCTGTTCTCCTAGTGGGAAATCTGTTTTAGCTACTAATGTGCTTAGGTACACAGAGCCTGACATGTTTAAAGTAACACTGAAAAGTGAGGACATAGCTCAGTGGCATAGCACTTGCCTAGCATGTGTGAAACCTGGGATCAATTCCCCAATTTTTCTTTCAGATGCGAAGGAACAGGCATTGTGAAGGTAGGAAGGTGAGAAATCTATATAGTTCTTGAAAAAACTTTTTCTGAGTACAGGCACAAGTGTGGACTTTTCAGGACTTTGTTCTCTTCCACCTTAGGGAAAAAAAAAAAACAAACTTTAAAAAATTTTATGAGTGTATTGTCTACTCATGGAGGTCAGAAGAGGGCATTAGATCCCCTGGAACTGGAGTTATAGGTGGTTGTTAGGCACCATGTGGATGCTGGGAATCAAACCTGGGTCCTTTGCAAGAACAACCAGTGCTCTTTGCTGCTGAGCCAATTCTTCAGCCCCCTTCCACCTTTTCTTTTTGAGGCAGTTTTTTCTTGGTGTTTTTGTGGCTGTGCTATACACACCACACTAGCTGGCCCATGGGCTTCTGGCATTCTCCTGTCTCTACCTCCCACCTACTGCCACTGCATCCAGCCTTCTCCAAGGGTTCCGGGATGGAACTCAAGTCACCAGACTTGCACAGCTAGTGCTTTTACCCAGAGAGCCATCGCCTCAGCCCTCTGCATTGTTTTGAAGATCCCCACTCCAAACTGTTGAGTATGTGTTAACAGTATCCTTTCAAACAACCATAACAAAATTCTACTAGGAATACTTGACATCAGAAATTCTGTGACTTATAAAAATGTGTTACAAGACTTTTTGTCAGAAAAGAATAATTTAACAAATGACTTAATCTTTTTATCATTTTGAGTTATTATTAAATGAATTCTATGTGGAAGCAGCAAAAGGGAAATAAAAAAGTTAAAGAAAAAAGCAAAATTTTACTGAAAAGACAATGGGATAAACTTTAAAAAACTAAAACTTTGAGAAATGAAGACTGTATTCTTCCATCTACTGTTATATGAAATAAGTCTGTAAATGGTACCCAAGCATTGCCCACTATGCAGGAGGAAGCACCCCCCCAGAGGTCTTTCATTGGAGCTAAAAACAAAGCTAAACTAGCAAAAACAAAAACAAAAAACTCTAGGTCAAAGACCTAGAAAATAAAAATTCTTTATTATGTCAGCACCTTGATGTTTGAGTGATTTGTCAAGAATCTATTCGTTTCTTTAATTATCAATAATAAAAACAAATGCACCTGGGTCTGGAGAGGTGGCTCGGTGGTTAATCCAAGTTTGGTGCGCAGCACTCCCAACAGGTGGGTTACCATCACCTTTAACTCCAGCCCTAGGGAGATCCCACACCTCTTGCCTCCACAGGGACCAGCACTCACGTGCACATACATACCCCCACATAGACACATATCCATACAAATAATTAAAAATAAATCTAAAAAGAAAAAAAAGTCCTAAAAAGATGGTTTGTAAATGTACCAAGATACCCATTCTTTATTAAATCTAATATATTCAATTTATAATTTGGAGCTAAATGGTCATAATTACTAGTAAGGTACTAAAAATCTGTAAGTGGATATTCTTCCATCTAACAGATATTTAATGCATACCTATTATAGCTTAGATACTGTTATATGTACACACTACAATAATGAACAAAATCCGAAATTCTATGTATCCAATTTAAAATGAATTCTGTATGTTGGGAGTTGAGGGTAAAGGGGTTAGTAAAAACCAGCTGCTAGATAAGTTCTGCCCTATTTTAAATACACAGGAAAAATTGTAGTTCGTGAACTGTCAAGTGATCACCTTCATGTTTTTGAATTGTTTGTTCTTAAGTGTTTATGGAAACGACATATTTTGATATTTAGTAGATTCATTCATTTCCTTCTCAAACATATATTACAGTTTACAAAATTCTACCTTCCCAGTATCAGCTAGACACCCTGAGACTGCCTGGGATGCGGAATCATCACTTACTAACCCTGGCCTACATCACAGAACTGTCATATAGCACGCAGCAGTTCTGGGGGAGCTTGGCCCCACTCAACCTGCTGCAATTCTCTCCAAGCCAGTGGTGTCTACCATTTTAAGATAGGGTATTCCAAAGACACTCTCAAATTGTGCTGGGTAACACTGAATGGGTTTCAACCATCAGTCTGGGACACTTTATTTGGGAGCAGGAGTCATAATGATTGGAATTAACAGATAAATGTCAAGAATGCTAAATGAATCTTGCAATGGAATGACAGTATTTTCTCATGAAGAACTATTGCATCCAAAAAGCCTTTAGTGCCACTCTGCATTAAACTGTTACCATGTGATACAGTAAAAATGTCAGAAACTTGACTTTAGTCATGAATTTTTTTCTACTAGAGAGCATTTCAGAGAATTTTAGTGTTTTATTAAGTATAAAAGAATCTATGTGTCACAAAAAATATTTCAGTAGAAACTATCCAAGAAAATACAAAACTACTGAATGTTTCTGGTCAAGAAGCTACTACAGTAGGCAAAAGGAGCTGTGAACTAAGTACCACTGCATCAGATGGTTCAGAGGTGGTTCTGCATGCTGCTTAGCGATAGGTATACTTTTAAAAACCACAGAAAACAATGTTCAAATTGGCTTGGTGATGCCTTGATGTTAGAACATTTGTGAAGAAGACATATACAAAAGTAATTACCTCAATGCAGTTAATGCTACACACAAGAACACTCTTCAGAGTTTGGCGATGACACAGGTTTGACTGTGAGAGCCAGTCAGTTTTAAGATCTAGACTCTGGAATTCACACTACTAGGCAATGTATATAAAGGCACATTTTTGGTATGGCTCCATCCAACTTTGTATAGGTTCTAAGAATGTTCTAAGTAGAAAAGAACATAAAATTTATCCATCTTGACTCACAATGATCCCCAGGAGTTCAAAAGATAGTCACAGGGACCGTCATCTAATAAGCCAGATAATTTATGACTACATGAAAACACTTTATGAAATATACAGTCACTGTTAGTCTGGGGACCCTGAGCCGCCTTCTCCATGCTTCTTTTCTGTCGAGTCCAATAGGAAACCATGAAGAACACTGCAGTCAGAGTGGGAACACAATCGCAAATGTACACATAAATAATCAGTGAATTATTCAGTACTCAGAAGATTCTTCATTAGGGCAGCAGTAATATTCCACAAAACATATTTGTCCATCTTCATTTCTAATCATGTACTGTAATGAGAGGAATCCTCGATTATCTGTCCGAATAGATACCTTACAAGATAAGACTAATGCCTTTGTAGAGGGTTTCAGTAAAGAAATTTTGTATCTGTAGGAAAATAAATGAAAAGCTGTTATTTGGATATACTAAATGCAATGCACATAACTCAAAGTAAAGGACAAAAAATACCAAGAATCAAGTAGCAAATATAAGAATACAATTTAAACACTTAACAAATTTGCTAGTATTTTCTCTAGATTTGAGCACAATTACAACCCAACAGTCAAGTAAACCTAGTACCCAACCATTTATTTTTAAAAATGTGAGCCATTCTTAAAAACAGATTAAAATTACTTATTTTTAAAATTTTTATTATTTCTTATTTTATGTGTATGAATATACTGGCTGCACGTATGTGAGTGCACCTGTGTCATGCAATGCAGCAGAGGTCAGAAGAGGGCTTCGGATTCCCCTGGAACTGGAGTTAAGGGTGGTTCGTAGCTGCCATGTGGGTGTTAGGAATCGAACCCGGGTCCTCTGCAAGAGCAGTCAGTGCTCTTAACTGCTCTCCAGCCCCAAAATTACCCATTTTGTTTTTGAATGGAAATTTGTTACTTGAATTCATCTTTATCAACAATGGCAACCTTGATGTTAAGAACTAACCTGTTGATCTGGGTCTCATTACAGTGAAAGGCTTCCACCAAATCTGAATCTTTGGGGTAGTCAAGGTGGGAGCTGCCTGCACTTCCAAAAGTAGATAACCTATGGTTGAAAATGAGTAACTCGTTTATTTATAGGTTCAAAAGTAAGCAACATTAGGATTCATATACTAAAAATTTGGTTAGCAGGGCTGAGGAGATGGACCAATGGACAAGAGCATTTGCTATGCAAGCATGAGGACTGGAGTTCAACTCTCCCAGTACCTGCACATACCCATGGACCCCGGCATTGGGAGAGGCAGATCCCAGGAGCTCACCAAACAGGGTGAGAGACCCTGCCTCAAAGCAATAAGGTGGGCAGCAATAGAGGGAGACATCTGATGTCCTTTTCTGGCTCCCCCCAAGTGCACACAAGGGCATGAGCATGTGTGCACAGACACAGACAGACACACACACACACACACCAAACAACAAAAAACACCCCAAAACCTGATTGCAATATACTTTATTTGGTTGCTTAGGTGTCTCTACGTAAATGGGCCCAAGCTGGTCTGGAGTTCTCTATAGCTCAGATTGGCCTTGAACTCATGATTCTTTTGCCTACATTTCCAGAATACTGAGACTATGGACAAGTAGCACCATACCCAGCTAAACACTCTGACAAGCACCAGAATAAAGGTTTCCAGAGGATATAGAAGAGAACAAATTGTAACAACTTTCTAAAAAAGACTGATTCTGATCCTGTAAAAAAAATCCATAAACTTCCATGGCACAAAATATCAGAACAGCTTGACAGTTGATACTGTATGTATTCTTGTTCTTGCTGAAAACTGTCTGTTCCTAGGAAGTTAACCATGACCAATCCTCCAAGTACTCAAGTACTGTTTCCCAAGTATTTGAGACCTATTTGGTTCTTAATGGTTTGCAATTTTGTTCTCCTCTGCTGTTTCACATATTTTTTTCTTCACTTTAAGTTTTTTTTTTTTTTCTCCCCTAGTTGTATTAAGATGGTATGGGCACAGTAGATATAAGTAAATAAATCACCCATCAGTACTACCTACTTATTTTTGTATTCTAAATTAACTTAAAAGAAAAAAGATACCATATAATACAAACACATTTTCCAAACATTTAATCCCAATTTTCTTCATGATGTGACCTCATCTAAACACTAATACAGCAACGAAAATACAACTAGTTTGTGGAGTACAAGACTAAGCCTTATCCACAAACCAGTTAGGCAGTTCTACTGCCTAACTACAAAATGCTAATGGTGAAGTACACTCACCACGTCTTAAGTTTCCTGTCTTGGTTCCATAAAATTATGTGATCAAGGGCTTTTGAAAGTTCTGAAAATTCCAGGAATGCTGATAATGAAAATTACGGAACTCAAACATTAACCACTACCAGACCACATTAAGGATAATGGCACCCATGTACCTGAAATAGGGCTTGTCAGGAGACACAGTGATCTGTAGGACATCACTTGTCATGTCCAATTCAGAAAATGCTTCACGGAGCCCCTCTGACTGCAGAATAATTTTATTTATCACATTGGTGCTACAGAAATCAAAATCCAGAGTCTCCTCAGGCTCCTGAGTGTTGATTTTACAGACTGTCACCACTCCTCCTTCTTCCAGAAACAGCATCAGAGGGTGACCATAACCTTGGTAGCACATCCTAAGTGCAGTTAAAGTCCCTGAAATGCAAAGAAATCGTACCATGGTTAGCTTTATGGTTCTGGGTTTTGTTTCTCCTCCAAATCACATTCTTCCTCAAGAATAATTAGGCTGGGAGTGGATGTGCACTCATTTAATCCCAGCACTTTCGAGACAGAGACAGAAGGATCTCTTGAGTTTCAGGCCAGCATGGTCTACAAGTGAAGTTCCAGGCCGCAAAGCTACACACACACACACACACACACACACACACACACAAATTCTGTCAAACTTCTAGCATATATTTCCTCAAATTTTAAATCAAACTGAGAGCAAGAGAAGGTGGTATTTAGTGGTATAATTTTAATACTTCAATACCCTTTTGAGAAAGAATAGAAGACACTCTAGCTCCCACTTACTAGTTGGAGTCAGTGAGGAATAGGGGAAAGCAGGTGCATTCATGAAAAACCAGCTGGGGAGCACTGGATTAGAAAATGCACAATCAAAAAATATTATTATAGTGCATACAGTATGTGCATGTGGATGCACGAATGTCAAGGAATACAAATGTGGAGGTCACAGAACAACTTTTGGGAGTTGGGTCTCTCCTACTGTGGCAATCTGGGAATTGAACTCAGATTGTCAGGTTTGGTCTCTAAGTACTTTTATTCACTGAGTCATCTCATCTCCCCTGCTCACATGGCTCACACCTGTAATCCTACTTTAAAGGCCGAGGCAAGCAAATCACTGCAAGTTCTAGGCCAGTTAGGATACATAATATGGTAGGAGCACATCTTTACTCCGGGGGGTATTCAGGTTGCAATTTTTCTTATACTTTTCTGGGAGTCTTAAAAGGCAATTGAATTATTAAAAATAATTCCTAAAAATACAACAATAATAAGCAAATAAAATATATGTTGAAGGAACTAGTTGAGGAAATAGACATAATTTATAAGGTTTTTTTTTTTTTATTTTAGCAAACATATTTTGAGCACAGTAAACTTGGGAGTCAGGAAGTTTTACTTCTATTTTTCTCTGCCCAGAAGTAGAGGTGTAATTTTGGACAAGTTAGAAGAAAAAAGTAATTAAAACATTTATATACGTTAAAGATATATTTATAGCCAGGTCCATGGTGGTACACACCTTTAATCTCAACACGGGAGGGAGAGGCAGGTGGATCTCTATGAGGTTAAGTCCAACTTTGTCTACATAGCTAGTTTCAGGTCAGCTATGGCTATAAGGAGATCTAGTTACAACGTATTAAATGTAATAAAAGAGATGTATTTATTACTGTTTCAAAGTCTTTTTTGACTTTAAATTCTTGAAATCCACATGGAATACTGTCAGTTACCTAGGACACAAACCTTTAGGCATGTCTGTGAGGTAGTTTCTAGATTAAGGTTGAGGGTGTGAAAGAGTAACCCTAAATATGGGTGGTTCCATTTTATGGGCTGGGGTCCTGAGCTGAATTTAAGATGGGGAAAGCCATCTGAACAACACCTCCCTTTGCTTCCTGATGTGGCTGCCATGTAACTAGCTGCCTCATGCTCCTACCTCTGCCTTCCCTGCCATGATGGACTTCACCCTTAAACTGTGAGTTAAAATAAGCCCTTAAGTTGCTTTTGTCTGTTATTTTGTCACAGCAACAAGTAATACACCTTGTAAATTAAGTATCTTCACAAATATCTAAAAAACCGTAACACATAATCATTGGATAGTTTGAACACTTATAATCCAAGATTGTGATCACTGGGGGATGAGAGGGAATAAAGTAGTAATTTTTATTTAATACTTATTTATTCTTTGAAAATTTCATAGATGTATACCATGTATTTCGATCCTCTGTGACCTCCCCCCAATCCCTGAGACCTCTCCAACCTGTCTCCTTTGGATTTCATGTTCTCTTTTATTATTATAATGAATAACTCTAAATCCAATTAGTGTTGATCTATGTGCATGTGTGTGGGGCCATCCAGTGGGGCACAGACAACATATAAGCAGCCACATTGCCAAAGAAAAGCGGTTTTCTCTTCCTCGGCAGTTATCAAATGCCAACAGCTCCCCAAATCCACGTGTAAAAAAACCTCAGGAGCCTCTCCTCCTCAAGTAATGAGTTTTCTAACAACATGTTTACTTTCCTGGGGTTCTAGCTCAGTTGGTAAAGTACTTGTCCAGCAAGCAAGAAGCCCTGGGTTCAGTTCTCAGAACCAAATAAAACTACAGGTGTTTCACACACCTGTAATCTCAGCACTGGGAGGTAAAGGCAGGAGGATGAGATATTCAAGGTCATCCTCAGCTACAAAATGAATTAAAGCCAGCCTGGCTACATGAATCCCTGTCTCAAAAACAAGGCTTACATTCTAAAAACCTTCCTATATTTTTCTAACCATAAGAAATACATTAATGCCATTATAATGATACAATATCTCACCTGGCATAGGACTTGACCCAAAAATAGATAAACAGTCTAAAAGGATAGTTAAGTTAATTCGAAAACTAATAGTCTCTTCCTGAACGATAAATTCTTGAAACACTTCAGCCTATGAAAGTAAACATGAAAGTGGGATTATATTAAACAATAAAAATACACATGAGATTCTAGATTTTATGTTTTAAAAATAACAATAGTGTGCTAACTCCATAAGAATACTTTCTCATTCTCAAGCAAGACATGCTAGTTTTTTAACCATTATCCATTAGAACACTATTACTCATGGTTTAGGTTAAAGGTTTACCACTAACAGCTTCCATTTTAAACGTCCAGAAGGGTCCTTCATCTCCATTTCTGGATCTACACTTACCACCCATGAGAGGTTCCCTTGCCTCCTTTTATATGCCCATCAGTATGGCTAACAAGTAAAAATACCACAATTTAATCACGCATTAGTGGCAACACATTCCAATTTCTTTTGAAGACAAAAGTCATGTTTTATTTGTTTCTACATTTCTGAGGTCATACAAGTGTTCAAAAACATGAAGTGGGTGTGGTGATCCAATATGAACCATACAAACACTATTTTGTAAGAACAGATTCTATACAGCCAGTAAAAGGGAAAAATGTTCAGTAACAGTAAATGTAAAAGTAAAAAAATTCTGAAGTTCTCATCCTAACTCAGTCACTTAGCAGCTGTAAGACTATTAACTAATTACTTAAAATTGTGTTGTAGTTTCCACAGATCTAAAATGGGAATAGTTAACAGTGCCTATTATTTGCGAAAATTAAGAGTTAAACACTGAGAAGACTGGCTTAGAGTTTAACTTTAAAAAACTTTATTCGCTATTAACCAATAGCTGTGTAAGATGGAAAAAGAATTTGTTAGTAGAAGAGAAAAAATTCAATGACATTTTGTTCTTTACCTTGAATCCTGTCAGGTTCTTCCAAATTCATTAAACTTAGGGGAAGGCTTATTGGTCACCGGCTTAAAGGTGCCATCCCCCACCCCTTCCATACCTGAATAAAAGCATTTGCTTGCACACACTTTGCATTTTCCACTGTAACCCTGAGTCCATTCTTAGTAGCAAAACACGTGGCATGTTCTTTGAAATGAATAGCTTTCAAGACCGTGGAGAGATTTCGCACATTGTCGAGGCTGGCCACTAGGCTGTACTGTTCGTTCAGGTCTGGAATGCGCTGGGTTAGGAGAGGCATTGCACCGTGCCGCTTCGCAGCTCGGAGGGATGGTCCTCTTTGCAGCGGACCCCGACACACCTGCAGGAGCGAACAGAACCCCCACCCCCCATCAGGGGTGGCAACAGAACAGCAGACCCCTATCTGGGGTGGTAACAGACTCACACCAGGGGTGGCCAGACCCGAGACCTCACGCCACCAGAAGCGCAGTGGAAGGGGCGTGGGAACTGAACTGGGCCGACGAGGCCGAGCCCCAGACTCTTCGCTAAGGAATTGTCTCTAACTTAGGGCAAAATGACTTCTCTCAAAACTCCTGTTTCCTCTTCTTCCGTATGAAAACACGCAATTCTCATCGCAGGTGCAAAGGGCTCGGGTTTCTCTGGGGTATACAACCTGCTGCCCTCCTCCGAGCCTGTTTCGCGCCTCCGCAGGCCACCAACCTGGCTTCCCATAGGGGCCCTGGTCACCCAGCTCACCAGTCCGCCCACAGCTAGTGCAGGGAGCCCGGGCTGCGGTCGGGACTTCCCGGCGCCCTTTCTGGTCAAACCCCAGAACGCGACAACCACAGGTCGGCGACCCACCGAGACAAGCCGAGGGCTCCCGCCGCTTTTCAGACAGCTACGCCACCACCACCACCGAGACCGAGCAGGCCTAGAGAGTCCTGCAGTGCCGAACTACAAAACCGGAAGTAGGCGGTGAGAGCTGGCCGACTACCCCCAAAGGTCAGTCTGCGGTACCATAGAGAGCGGAAGGAGGAGAAGAGAGAGAGAGAGAGAGAGAGAGAGAGAGAGAGAGAGAGAGAGAGCGCGGCAAGACCGGAAGTGCGGTCTGGAGCTAACGCGGCGAGGCAAGATGGCAGCGACCAAGAGAAAGCGGCGTGGGGGCCTGGCGGTTCAGGGAAAGAAGCCAAAAAGAAGCCGGAGAGATGCCGGGCATCCAGCTAAGCCTGCCGCCGAGGCAGAAGAGGTAGAGGAAGAAGAGAGAAACCGTATTCCAGGTCCCGTTTGCAAGGTAAAAGACGCGTCTGCGGGGTTATCCGTGGGGCTTACCGCGCTTGGGGGAGTCGGCCTCTGCACTACAGACCCGAGCGGTCCGAGTGGCCGCACCGGGCAGTGCGTACGTCTCATTGTAGTACACGCGGCCTCCTTCCGGGAGGCGACCGTCTGCAGACCCCTTCCCAGCTCATAGGGAATTGACTCGGCGTATTAAGGTCTGGTGGTCTGTATTCAGTTATTCGTCTTCCCGCCCCCAAGGTAAGTGCTTGTCTTGCTTTTTTTCCTAGCTGTTGTGTGTATCCGTTCTACCGATTCCGCGTCCTGGTGTAGCCGGCCAGTGTCAGTCAAAGATACCCAAGCCAAGCCTTTAAAAAATTACTGGCAGGGGACGGTGATTTTGACTTGTTTGATTGAATCTTTAGCTCAGGGGATAATGGAAATGAGACTAGACGACGTGAGTTTAATGTGCGTTCAACAGTGTGCCATGCCCTTATACCGAGGTAAGCCTCTCTGGCCTTGGCATCTCAGAAATGATAAACCTGACCGCTTCCTGAAATATTGGAGTTTAGAAGGAAATTAAGAATTCATAGAAATCGATGTATTTTACACAGAAGGAAACGACCGGGTTCTTGTTGGAGTAATTTTCAATCAACTGAAAGCTCATTGAGCAAAATACATTAATGGAGAAAAAGATCTTGTCTTTAAGGACTTATTAATGTCTGCCCTCTGTACTTAAGGGTAGTACTCTATACTCTAGCACTTAGGTGGTAAGTAAGGGGCCCTTTGTTGTGAGATAGTAAGCTCAGGGGAAAAAAAGAGAGCTCTGAGGAATGAAAAGTGAGTGTAACTTTTACCCCTGATGTAATTAACATCTTATACTCTTTTCTCATCAGAGAGGCTGAAAGTTTCTTTGCCAAAATTTTAAGCTGGATGCCGGTGCTAGCCGGCCTTAGATGAACAGCACCTGTGAGGATTGAAAGAAAAACAAGAGACAGAGTAAAGATACTTGGGAGGACTGTCAGTAGAGACTGCAGCCCTGGGTTATTTCAGCTCAGCCTTTTTATACAGCAGAACATCAGATAACCACAGTTTACTTAGCTCAGTTAGCTTCAACAGCTGTCTTTTCCCACCTTTATCTGAGGGTCAACCAATGGTCAAATACTTGTTGTGAATTCCACCAATTAACCATCTTCCCTAAATTATCAGCACAGTCCTCCTGACTTGACAGAACAATTCAGTGCTTGTGTGTAAAGCACAAACTCTTGAGTCAAGGTGAAAGGTTAAGCCTGCCACAGCTCAATGTACATAATGGCTGTGTTTATATTAATAGCTCCCAACAGCTGGACTTCTTGTGGAATATCAATAAATGTAAAGGAGCTCTCCCTTTTTAAGGGAGCTGGAAAGGGTTAGGGTTACGTGGGATCTTAATCTGATATGATACATTGATTGAAATGCAGGGGATAAAGTTTACTTTTCTCTTAGGATGTTAGTAAACTAAGGAAACATGAAGTACTTAGCCTTTGAGCTGAATTTCAAAGACAGTACAATTTTGATGTTCAAGGAAACAGAAAGAAAAAAGAATTGATCAAAAGTGTGGAAGTGGGGAGACGCTGAAACTAAAACTAAGAGCCAGATTGACTTAAATGTAGGGCTGGTGTTGGGCAGTAGTGATGTAACAGTGAAAATGTATTTTAAAATTCCGTGTTAGTGCTCGCTTCGGCAGCACATATACTAAAATTGGAACTATATAGAGAAAGATTAGCATGGTCTCTGTACAAGGATGACACGCAAATTTGTGAAGCTTTGTATATTTTTAAGACCAACAAATGGGAATATGGTGGGGTCAGCATCCTGAAGGTTCAAAAATGCCGATTGATAATACAAAAACGACAGGCTTTGGTTTGGAAGAGAAAGACTTTCGAATCATGTTAATCAGCTTCATTAAACAAAGATCATCAAATACCTAAGAAGCTTAGATGTTACAAAAACGACAGGCTTTGGTTTGGAAGAGAAAGACTTTCGAATCATGTTAATCAGCTTCATTAAACAAAGATCATCAAATACCTAAGAAGCTTAGATGTAGTTAAGTGGTTGAAATACCTCAATAAAAAGAACCATTGATGGTTTAAAAAAAAACAAAAACTCAGCAATAAGGTATATATATGCCATTTTGAACTTTGGAAAGCTCTGGGAGGTAAATCATGATGGTATTATGAGGTAAAAGCACTTGGGACAGTGCTTTTTTTGTTGTTTTGCTTGTTTTTGCTTTTTGAGACAGGGTGTCCTTATAGCCTCAGCTGTTTTGGAACTCACTATGGGGGCAGATTGACCTGCCTCCACCTCCTGAGTGCTGGGATTGAAGGTGTGTGCCAACCTGCCCACTTTCTTTTTTAAGAGATTAAATTGGTGCTAGTATTAGAAGACTTGGATGTACTTATGTCAGGGAGAGCTAGCCATTCATGAGCTTTGCAGTTGATAATTGGTTATAAGTGTTTAGGTAAGGACACTGAATAAGACTTACAAATTGTTCTGAAGAGATTTTGATCGCATTTAGTGGTGCTTATATTAATATAAGATATAAGGACAAATGGTTTTCAGAGTCTGAGGAACCGAAATGATGGTAGCAGAAAGAAGGAAGTGGGGTAAAGGGAAAGGAAGGGTCCTGTAAAATTAAGTTTAGGCCACGGAGCCTTCCTTACCTTTCTGTAGGTAGTTGAAGCTGTGGGAATGACTATAGATGTCTGTAATGTAGAGAATAGAAATTAAAAAATAGCATGCTAAGAATCCTTAGGGTCATGAAGGGTGATTGGAAGGGTTTTTCTTTCTTTTTCTTTTTTCTTTTTTCATTTTTTTATTTTAGGCAATCTCAGGATGTTCCCAGGTTGGCCTTAAATTTCTGACCTTAAGTGAGTCTCTTGCCTCAGCCTCCTTGGTCACTGGACTATATAGCCATGTACCACCATGCCTGGCTCTGAAAATATTTTTAAAAGTGTCATTAAAAACCTACTAGTGGCCAGGTATTATGGCAGCAAGCCTTTAATCCCAGTACTGGGGAGGCAGATCATTTGGATCTCTTGAGTTCAGGGCTAGCTAGCCTGGTCTACATAGTTTCAGGGTAGCCAGGGCTACATAGTGAGACCCTGTCTCCAAAATAAAAAAAGAGGGAAAGAAAAGAAAAAAGATTCAGTATCAGATTTTAAAATCTTTTTTAACTTTTTCTTTAGGGCAAGTGGAAAAATAAGGAGCGGATCCTGATCTTTTCTTCCAGAGGAATAAATTTCAGAACAAGACATTTAATGCAGGACTTGAGAACGTTGATGCCTCATTCTAAAGCAGGTACTTTTGTATCATTTACTTTAAATTTTATATTTGTAAACTTGCCCCATTTATATACTTAGATATTTACTGCTCATTTGTTCAGTGTTCTTAAAGAACCCCAGTCTCAGACTTGGGAAGGTAGCTCAGTTGGTAGAGGACCTGAGTTTGATCCCTAGAACCTACATAAAGAAGGCGGGTATGGTGGTACACACTTGTGACCCCAGAGCTGGGGAGGTAGAGACAGGTAGATCCCTGAGGCTTGCTGGCCAGTTAGGAGACCCTATCTCAGAAACGAAGTGGACAGCACCTGAGAAAAAAACACATCAGGATGACCTCTGGCTTCCATATGCATACACATACAAGTATATGTACAAACATGTGTGCACTCTCCCACCCCCTGCACACATACAAAGAACCACAATACCTCAGAAGTTCATTCTTTTGAGTACCGCATTTAAAAAATTATTTATATAATTCATATTTCTTTTTTTAAAAAAATTTTGTTTTGTCTATATGAGTGTATTGCCTGTGTGTATGTAAGTGTACCCATGTTGTGCAGTACGTGCGGAGGTCAGAAGAGGGTGTTGGATCCCCTGGAACTGTGGTTACAGATGGTTGTTACCTACCATGTGGGTGTTGAGAATTGAACCTGGGTCCTCTGCAAGAGCAGCCACTGTTCTTAATGGCTGAGCTATCTCCATCCCCTTTACTTTTATTAAACATACCTTTTTAAATTTAAAAAAAATTTATGAATGTTTTACCTGCATATACATCTGTGCACCCATGTCAGCCCACAGAGGCTATAGGTTAGAAGGAGGCTTTGGATCCCTTGGAACTGGAGATACAATTGTGAGCCACCATGTGTGTGCTAGAAACTGAACCCAGAAGCAAGAACAGCAAGTGCTTTTAACCCTTGAGTTATTTCTCCAGTCTTTAAACAGGTATTTTAATATAGAAGCATTTTCTAAAAGTCCAGAGGGGCCTTCTTCTAACAGTTTTACAGGTCAGAGAAGAGTGAGATAGCTTGTCCTTATAATTGAGGACTGCTCATGGGGTTGGTTTGAAGGAGTTTTAAACTGGGCTCAGCTTGTTTATGACTACTAAGCTGTTAATTTTTTTTACAATGTTCTTTTTTTAAAAAAACATTTTTTATGTATATGAGGTGTATTGTCTTCATGTAAGTGGTGCATTGCCTGCAGAGGTCAGAAGAGGGTGTTGGATTCTCTGGAACTGAAGTTATAGATGATCGTTAGCCACCATGTGGGTGCTGGGAACTGAACCTGGGTCCTTTGCAAGAGCAGCCAATGCTCTTAACCACTGGGCCATCTCTCCAGCCCCAGAACCCACATAGTGGCTAACAATTGTCCTTACCAGCTCCTAGAGAATTGGACACCCTCTTCTGACTTCTGTGGGCATTGCATGACATGTGCACTTTCATACATGCAGGCAATACACTTATACACAGCCAGGTTTAGTGGCGCACACCTTTAATCCCAGCACTCAGGAGGCAGAGGCAGGCAGATCTCTGTGAGTTCAAGGCCAGCCTGGTCTACTGAGTGAGTTCCGGGACAGCTGGGGCTACAGGGAGACCCTGCTTCAAAAAGACAAAAAAAAAAAAAAAAAAAAAAAAAAAAAGAATATAGTCATCTGCACCCATGGGTTCATACTTACAGATTCACCCAACTGCAGATTGAAAATACTTAGGATGCTGGCCATGGTGGCTCATGCTTGTATTGTTATCCATGTACTTGGGAGGCTAAGGCAGGAGGACTGCTGTGTGTTTGTGTTCAGTGTGGATCACCTAATGAGTTCCAGCCCATCTCAAAAATAAGGAAAAAGAAAAAACTCCGGAAAGAAAAATATTTTGAAAAAAAGAAAATTGCATGTGCTGAAAATGTGCCAGCCTTTTTCTGTCATTATTCTCTAAACAATATAGCAGTGCAGTGTAACACCTTTACATAGTGATGATGTGCATTACATATTATAGGTAACCTAGTAACAATTTAAAGTGTGTATAAAAAAATAAAGTATGTACAAATGTGCATAGGTTATATAATAAATAATGTATTTTACATAAAGGACTTGAATATCCTAAGACTTTGTTACCTACAAGGGTTCGTGTAACCAAACCTCAGACTCGTAGGGATGGTACCTTACGTTTTAAAAATACTGCTTAACCAGAATTTGTAATTTTTGAGGAAAAATTACATTTGTGTGTCATGTGTATGTATGTAGTGCGTATCCTTGCTTGTGTGGACATGTGGGTGTGCATTTGTGTGCTTAGGGAGGTCTGAGGTCCAGATCAATTACTCTTCACATTTAATTTTTTGAGACAGGGTCTCTCAATTAACCTTAAGCCTGTGTGCTTCAGGGATCTGTGTCCACTCTGTGGCACTGGGGTTATTGGGACACCTCCATACCTAGCTTTTTGCACGAGTCCTGGAGACCTGAACTCAGGTTCTCATACTTACATCTTCTAAGCCATCTACCTCTGTAGCCCATTACTTATTTTCTTTACATTTAAGAATCAAGAGGTTGAGTGTTTTCGGATGTGACCATTTTGAAAGTTAAGTACAAAATCTTCAATGTAAAGATACTTAGATTTGGGGCTGGAGAGATGGCCCAGTGGTTAAGAACACTGTTTGTTCTTGCAGAAGACCCAGGTTCAAATCTGAGCATCCACATGGCAGCTAACAACTGTCCGTATCTCCAGTTCCAGGGGATCCGACAGCCTCTTCTGTCCTCTGCGGGCATTGCATGACACAGGTGCACTTACCTACATGCAGGCAATACATGCATACACATAAAAATAATAAATATTTTAAAAAATACTTAGAATTATTATCTAGATAGCATATATAATCCATTTAAATAGTTTTGGTCTTTTATTTATTTACTTTGTTATTTTTTCTTTTTATAGACACTAAAATGGATCGGAAAGATAAATTGTTTGTGATTAATGAGGTAAGTTTTAAATGAATAACAATTTTTGTTTTGGTCTTTTTTGAGACAGGGTCTCTCCCAGTAGTTCTGGTTGGCCTGCAACTCACTGAGATTCACCTGCCGCTGCCTCTAGAGTGTTGGGATTAAAGGTGTGCACTGCCACACCTGGCAACAATCTAGTATTTTACCAACACTAAAGATTACTCTTTAAAAAAAAGTCATTTGGGGGGTTGGAGAGATGGCTCAGGGGTTAAGAGCACTGACTGCTCTTGCAGAGGACCTGGGTTCAATTCCCAGCACCCACCTGGTGGCTACGAACTGTCCTTAACTCCAGTTCCAGGGGAATCCAAAGCCTTCTTCTGACCTCTGTGGCATTGCACAGCATGGGTGTACTCACATACATGCAGGCAATACACTCATACACATAAAATAAAACTAATAAAATTCTTTTTTTTTTTAAAGTCATTTGGTGTCTTGTAAAAATTGTTTTGTGAATAAGTCAGACAAATTTTGTTAGCTCACTAATCTGGCAGGTATTCTATCATATATAGTATTGTGGGAAATTCATAGTAGGTGCTCATAAACATCACCCACCATATAAAAAACAAAATTTCAAAAAGTGTTAGATATTTATAGAAAACCCACATTGTGAAGGATATTTTGCTAGTATTAAAAGCAGTACATGCAGATTTTGCTCTTGACTAGTAATAGTAATTTAAAAATAATAAAATAGACTAGTAATAAATTCAAAATTGTACTGAAGGTACAAAGCCTACATTTCAAAGCAACTTTTTCTAAACCATTTTAAGCTACTTGTCTGGCTACTGAAAGGCTCCTTTTATTTGTTCATTTGGCATAGATTTTTAAACCTCTGCTCTAATAGGCATAGTTATGAAAACAGTGCTGAGCAGAACAGTGCCTCTGCTGCCCTGGAGCTCTCATCCTAATGAGGGGTGTGCACAGGACAGGGCCAAGACCTAGGTCAAGGGGGGGTAAGAGAGCTAAAGCAGAGTGTGGATTTGCCATGGCAGCTGGACTGGAAAGGCTTTCTCAACAGGCTTGTCAGCTTAATGGTCCTGGAGACTTAAGGAGGAAAACAGGTAGAGAGATGGCAGGTGTCAAGGCCAGAAGTATCACAGACCTATTGTGATCACTGAGACCAGTAAGTGTTAAAAGCAGTAAAACTGAAAACGACAAGCAACAAAAAAAGCAGAAGAAAAAGTATTGCACCTGTTTGTTTGTTTGTTTTTTTAAGGTTGGCAAGTTTGAAGTCTCAAGTAGTTCAGAATTTGTATTATATTAGTTTGAGTTTATGATACTACCATTAACACAGGAGTTTATTCTTGTAATGTTTTTGTATGTTTCTTAGGAGTAGTTTTGGAAATCTTTTAAGGTGTTGATGTTTAATTTACCTTGAAGTAGGTCAAGTCTGAAGACTTTTTGTGGTATTCATATATTGCATGCCTTATTTACGGCATTATTTTCAGTCTTTATAGTTTGTACATGGGATTATGGTCAGAAGAGGCCTTAATAAACAACAAGGAAACCAGTTATTCAAAAATTGCAGGCCAGCTGGATCTGTAATCCCAGCACTTGGCAGGTGAAAGCAAGGAGGATCAGGAGATCAAGGCCAGTCTGGGCTGCTTGATATCCTGTCGGTAAAAACAAACAAAATACCTATATACATAGTGTAGGTCAAAAAGAAAAGGATACTTCTACCAAAGAGACACAGAAAGCATCTGGTTTACCTTGAGTAGAATGCTTGAGAAGAAAGCACATTTTGTGACTAAATATAATGTTGCTCATAGTGGCCTTGCTTAAAATCATCTTGAAGAAATCTGATCATTAATTATGGTGAATTATTTAGTTCACATTTTATTACTTACTGCATTTTTTGTACCTTGCTGGATTTAGGTCTGTGAAATGAAAAATTGCAATAAATGCATCTATTTTGAAGCTAAGAAAAAACAGGATCTCTATATGTGGTAAGAGAATATTTTAATAAAATTTGGTGTAGCCTGTTTAAATGGGTTTGTTTTTTGTATGTCTTATATAATAAGATTGTTCTTTTATATAAAAGGGAAGAAGAAAGTAAACTCATTTGATTTTGCAATATTTGAATCCCCTGAAGAAAATTTAAAATACAAGGATTATAAGCATTTTCTCTTTTCTGCTGATAGGTGGAGAGCATACACCCCATTGTAAATTCTAATTAGTTGAAATGTTTCCTTCGTGTATTTCAGGCTTTCAAATTCACCTCATGGACCATCTGTCAAATTCTTAGTTCAAAATAGTAAGTTTGACTTAACATTTTTCATGAAAAATTTGGAAATGTTTGGGGATAATTGTGTCAAAATTCTAACTATTTTTGTTTTTATTGATTTTCCTAGTTCATACCCTGGCTGAACTAAAGATGACTGGCAATTGTTTGAAAGGTTCTCGCCCCCTTTTGTCTTTTGACCCTGTAAGTTTCTGGTTCAGGATATGAGGTCTGATTTTCTTTCTCCGGATGGTTGATTTTTTGTAGCTATAGTTACATGTACAATTCTGTTCAGTTAATATAAAATAAAGTTTTAAAGATAGTATTCTACCAATTTCAAATAATATGTTTGTTATGTTTTTATAGGTTTTTGATGAATTGCCACATTATGCTTTGTTGAAAGAACTCTTAATTCAGGTAAATAACTTCTTAGTATTTTTAGTAATGAATTATAGACAAATGTCTTCCTTTGGACTTTTTTAACTTAGATAATCAAAGTACACACTATGCCTTGGAATAAAAACTAACAGACTTTTTTTTTTTTACTAGATTTTTAGTACACCACGGTATCATCCCAAGAGTCAGCCGTTTGTGGACCATGTGTTTACTTTCACCATTTTGGATAATAGGATATGGTTTCGAAACTTTCAGATCATAGAAGAAGATGCCGCTCTTGTAGAAAATATGTAGGATTTGTAGACATGGAAAGTGCAGATGTAAGTCCTTTCGTTTTAAATAGCTTCATTTTCCTTTCATATATTTGAGGTGACTATCTGCTGACTTATGCCTTAAGTGATCTCTACCCCTTTTATAGTTCAGATGATATGAAGTATAAGATTTATAACAATCTATTATTGTCATTTTATAAAAGAAAATAGACTGGAAATCTCTGAAGTAATTGACTTCTAAATTTATGGTGAATCTTGTAAAGGGTATAGTAAAATTTTTCTCTCCCAAAAATTAGAATGCATCAGGTGGCGTGTGTGTGTGTGTTGGGGGGGGCGGGGCGCAGCATGCTGTTAAGACTTAGAAAAACATTTAGTTGAAAAAAGAACTTGTGGGTGAGTCATAACATGACACATTCAGGATTAGGGGCGATTCTAGAAATCTTTAAGCAGGAATTTGGCATTATAAATCTGCAGAAAAACAGAAAAGTGGAGAGGAAAATCAAGAATGAGATTTCAGAAAGTGTACAATGTAAATGTGGCTCCTTCCCAGCTCATGTTTTATAGCAGATTCCTTGCAGTATGAGTAAACATCTCTTAACCTCTGACTGTAGATGTAATTTAAGAGCAAGTGTTCATATTTGTGAGATGATAAGAACCAAATTCATATTTCTCAATTAAAAAAAAAAATGATGGGTTAGAGTTTGAGCCCAGTAATCAAAAAAGCCAGGCATACTTGCACATAACTTATAAACTCAGACCTGGAGAAGTAGAAACAAGACAAGCAGATCCCTGGGGCTTGCTGTCCAGCCTCCCTAGCCTAATCTGGGAGCTCCAGGTCCCAGTGAGGACCCTTCCTCGAAAAAACAAAGTGTGGTTGGTGAGATGGCTCACCTGGTAATTAGCTCACCATTAAGCCTCAAAACCTGAGTTGAAGCCTGGGGACACATATGGTAGGAGAGACAGCCAACTCCTCAAATTGTCCTCTCATTTCCATATGTGCACAAACTAAGTGAATGTAAAAACAAAAATAACAGTAAAACATGGTGGACAGCTCCTGAAGAATACTCAAGGCTGACCTCTGGCCCCACATACTAGTACACATATAAATACAGAGCATATACACATGTATGCACACATTTTAGAAAGTATTATAAGTTTTTACAGGATCATTAGCTTTATTTTATTTGTTTATTTATTTATTTATTTATTTAAAGACAGGGTCCCACTGTGTAGCCCTCACTAGCTTGGAACTTGCTCTTTCTGTCCTTAATCTTACAGAAATCTGTCTGCCTCTGCCTCCTAAGTTCTAGGGTTAAGGGCATGTACCACAACAGCTGGCTTATCAATTCTTATAGTTCATTCAATGAAGTTATAGCTAGTACACCTTTTAGGAATAGTATATCCAAACTGAAACAGATGCTCTCTTTTTATTGCAGATCATAGAAGAAGATGCCGCTCTTGTAGAAATAGGGCCTCGTTTTGTCTTAAATCTCATAAAGATATTTCAGGGAAGTTTTGGAGGACCAACTTTATATGAAAATCCTCACTATCAGTCCCCAAACATGGTAAGCTGGGTTGGTTGGTCAGTGGTATTTTGGTGTGTTTTCTGTTTGGTGGTTCTTGTTTGGTTTTGTTTTAGTGTCATACACCATGACTTTTGGACAAAATAATTCTTTGAATACTGTTCTGTCACCCATGTGTCTGAACTTTTGTTGTACATAAACCTGCAGTTACATTCTTTGCATGACACTAGGTGAATGGACATGAAGTTGGTAAGGGAATGTCTTCGCCTTATAAAATGCTTACTCAAACTCCATCTAATGTTTATTGTGTCTAGCATCGACGCGTCATAAGGTCTGTCATGGCTGCAAAGTACAGAGAGAAACAGCAAGTGAAAGATGTTCAGAAACTGAGGAAGAAAGAGCCGAAGACTATTCTCCCACATGATCCCACTGAAGATGTGTTTGTTATACCAGCTAAGGAAAAACCAGTAGAAATACAGTGGGTAAAACCAGAGCCAAAAGTAGATTTGAAAGCAAGAAAGAAAAGGATTTACAAAAGGCAACGAAAAATGCAGCAGAAGATGAACAGTAGGAGTATAAAATGAATCCATGGATAACATTATTTTTCAGTTATTGTATATTTGTTTTGTATTCTGTGTGTAAATAGTTTTAGTATCCAGAGCTACTTTGTGTCGTTACCATGCCATTTAAAAAAAAAAAACAAACATTTTAAATCAGTGATGTTGATCTTTTTCTAAATAAAACATTTCCCAAACTCCTATCTAATTTCCGTTCTTTTCAAGCCTGTTTGGTATTATTGAACATTTAGTACACTTAAGAGTTTAGGCCTGTACTCTTCTTTGATTAGCATTTTTGGCTTAGTAAAGGTGAAATTTAAACAGATTAGGTCTTTATTAGAGGCATTAGGCACCTTAAGAATAGTTTGTGGATGAAAACCTATAGGTCAACTGCTAGTAAGGAAAGTGTTTTACTGAGGTTTCACTTTTGGAGTCATGAGTTGATGAAGTCTTGGGAAAGCCAACTTATTCTTCACATCAGTCAAGGATGCATTGAAATTCTTAGGTCTTGAAAACCAACTGAGTTAATAACTGTCTGCAAGGATTTTATAAATTATATGTTTATCTTAGCAGTTAGCATAGGTTATTTACTTTAAAAATCTAATAGTAAAAGGAAAAATAAGACAGGATATAATCATGATGGAATTTTTCCTATCCTGAAGGAAATACTGAAAGTCCTAAACTCTGAGCTTGAATTTCCAGAGATAGATTAGCAGTAACAACCAAAGAAGTGACTTGAGTCCTCCAGTGATCAGGGATAGGTGGCTGGTGAGATGGATAAGTTCTGTCACATATTGGATGGTCTCATTTTTTTCTACTTCACGTTGGTTATTTGCTACATGTTTACCAACAGCACAAGACTTCCACTTTGTACCATAGCTATATAATCTGACCAGTATGGTTTCCTGGATAAATCATAATATAAATTCTTATGAACATTTCTTCACATGAATCTCTTTGTACAACACTTCTGGTTAGAAATGGTGCTGTTGTCAAAGGTTTTAGGCATTAAGGTTTCTGATAGTTTGTAAGGTCCAAAATTGTATCTTGTCAGAGGTAGAGCTTTAATACCCTTGTGCCCTTGCCAGTGAGAATGCATATCAATTGCCAAAAGATACATACTTTAATAAATATTGGGGGGCAGGGGCTAGGAATTCTTGCGTGGGATTGGAAAATCTTGTTCTGTGGTAGGGTTCTCTTTTGTATATTTCTAGATACTGCTAGTGTATTTTTGTTATATGTCATCCATTACTATGGAGGCAGAACTATTAGCCTGTTGTTTTCAGCCTTTAGTTTTCTGGTAAAGTTCCTCCTGAGTTGTATGTTTTAATTATGCTACTTTTCTTGGAACAGTTTTAAATTAGACCACTTGAAATCTTGAAGTCCTCTAAATTATGCAAGTAATTCAGGTAAGAGGTTCATCTGAAGTACTTCTGTTGTGGCTAATTGCTAACTATGGCCAAAGCTAGTTAGGTACCAAAACCAAAATGGCCACTGGTTATTTAAGCAGTCAAATATAGCCTTAAATGAAATTGAGACAACACTTAGGGTTTGTTAAAAACCTATGCACATTGCAGGAAAATTTAGAGATTATATAAGCATATTGAATCTAGTTGCCAGTTCTGAAAGAAGACATGAACTTAATACTTTTGATGTGTGCATTGAGGAGTTTGGATAGAGATTCACAAGTTTTGGGCATTTTTTTTTTTTTTCTCCACTTTTTCCCCCCTCTATTTTTATTTATTTATTTTTTTGGTCTTTTTGAGACAGGGTCTCCCTGTAGCCCCAGCTGGCCTAGAACTCACTGTGTAACCAAGCTGCTCTTGAACTCAGAGATCCACCTGCCTCTGCCTCCTGAGTGCTGGGAATTAAAGGTGTTCACAATTTTTCCATGTAGAGATTTTTTTCCCCAAATCACTTCCTTTTCACCAACACATAGATGCCTTATTTGAGCAAGAATTACTCTGCAAAGGATCATCAGCACAGTTTATGCTTGTGTGAAAGTGATCAAGTTTAGTAAGGATGTCCTTTAAGCAGGACATGGTGGTGACTCATGTAATCCCAGCTCTTGGGAGGCTGAGACAAGAGTACTGCAATTTCAAGGCCAGTCTGGGCTGTGTAGTGAGACCTTGTATCAACTAAAACCAACCAACGATGGTCTTTTAGGTTGGCATACCCAGTATTACTAACTTGAAATTAAAATCGTCTTCTGCCAAAATAGCTTTCTTTCAAAGAAAGCAAAGTGACTTCCAGAGTTGGGAAACAAAGCCACGCATACTGTGCTAGCAGGAAAAACATGACCCTCCCCCCCACCCCCGACTTTTCAGTCTCTATCCATTACCATGTTAACAACTGACTGAAGCCATGTAGAATCATCTTTCCAGAAAAGAGTGATTTTTGAATGGTGACTTGGACATTAACGTGTAGAGAAAACTGCTGAGACTAGGTTTTTGTTTTGTTTTTTAATTGTGCTGGGGGCAGGATATTAAAGAAGAAAGGTATATCTGTTTGATCTGCTTGGGTGCTCCAACCCTGTAGGACAGATACTAGCAATAGAAACCCTCTAACCATATATTGTCAAATAAAACCCATACCTACCTGATGCATTTAAATTATTTAGTAAGCTATTTTGATACTCTGCTTCTTAGAGTAAGTGTACAGATCTCCCATGAGCTATTCAGATCCACCAAAGCCTGCTGGCTAAATTCTATCGCATAACTGCATTCTCAGTTTGGAAAGGTAATACTGGAAGACAGGATTCAAGAGTGATGGATGAGGCTGAAGAGATGGCTCAGCTTTTAAGAGTGCATACTACTCTTGCAAGTTTGGCTCCCAGAATCCACATTGGGTGTTTCAGAAATACCTATAATGACCAGCTCCGGAGGATCCAACATTTCTGGCCTCTGAGGGCACCCGTACACACACATACACACACACACACACACACACACACACACACACACACACACACAACAGACATATAAAAAGTGATGGATGATATTCTGGTTTCTCTTAGGTTCTATAAGTCTGTCTTTTATTAATATCTCTATACAAAGGAACCACTTTTTTGTTTTTTGTTTTGTAAGGGAGACATTTTCCTTACCCCAGGTTGGTCTTGAACTCATGGCAATCCTACTTAAGCCTCCCAGTTGCTGAGATTATAGGCATGAGCCACCATCTCCAGCCAACTAAATCTTAAATTTTTTGAGGCTTTGTTTCAGCAAGGCTACAATGTTGTTTAAAGTGAGAATTCATAACTAACGGATGTGTCCTGATGACTCAGGAAGTTCACTTGCTATTATGTGGGCATTTTTTTATGTTTAAGATATGTATAAAAGAATCAGCCTGGTGGTGGAGGACTATAATCACAGCACGTGGGAGGCAGAGTCAGGAGCATCATGCAAGGGCCAGCCTGGTTTTTGGTATGCTTTTTTATTTTTTTGAGACAGTCTCATTATGTATGTAGCTATCGCTGCCCTGGAATTCGCTGTGTAGACAAGGGTGGCCTCTAACGACCTGCCTCTGCCTAGAGAGCTGGGATTAAAGGCCTGCACCGCCATGCTCAACCAGTCATTTATTGTACTTTATATGCGTATTGGTCAAGTTGAGCAAAATGAGAAATTTTATGAAGTGGTAGCAAAAGAGAACTAACAAGTGATCTAACATCTGGTGCTTGGACCAAGGACTCCTACAGCGTATTAGGTGTAAAGGCTTAAACTAGGCAGTTGACTAGTTAGAGCTTGAGTTGCTTCATCTTTAAAAACTGGTCTCAGTTTTGAAAAATAATTAGAAATAATTATTTAAGAGAAATAAGTAGAGCACCAGGAAGGTATTTTCCATACTACTTCCCATCCTAGTCCTACCTTACCCTTCATCCTACAAGCGGGCTAGGTGAGCCAGTCAAACTCAGCGCCTTCTGTGCTCCTCACAAAGACACTAGTCGGGGCCCCACCTCCCGCCCCGCGGAGGCCCCGCCCTCACAGAGGCCCCGCCCTCACAGAGCCCCCGCCCTTACAGAGGCCCCGCCCTCACAGAGGCCCCGCCCCCACAGAGGCCCCGCCTCTCGGGCGCTCGGCTCTCCCGGAACCCAGCCCAGTCCCCG